TTTTAGATATAACGGCAGGAGTATTATTTACAGGGGAAACTTGGCTAAAGTTTTTATCGCTGATGCTTTCTGGCCCATTTGGTTTTATAGCGTTTTTAGCAATACTTTATTCTACTTTTAAATTTTTAAAGTGTATGGTTGGAGCTATATTAAAGTATATTATAGCTGTTGTCTTAGGAGGGTTTTTACTTTCGTTAACACCTTTATTTATTGTATTTATTCTATTTCAGCAAACTAAACCATTGTTTGAGAGTTGGATAAAGACGTTGGCTCATGTGACGGTGCAACCGGTAATTTTGTTTTCATCTTTGTCTCTTTTAAATCAGTTGATGTATGCAGTTTTATATAATCTCACAAATTTTTCTGCGTGTTATCAGTGTTTAATTAGCATAAATTTTCTAGATTATGATTTCTGTATTTTCAAATCAATATTACCTCTTGGATATAGTCCTGGTGCTAGTGTTGATAATGCATTAGGTGATGGAGTGCGGAATAGTGGAACATTTGCAGCATTACCGATAGATTTAGTTCAAGCTGTCATCTATCTGATTATTGCCAGCGCAATGGAAGCTTTTGTAATGATATCAGAGAGTATGGCTCAAGCACTCTTTCAATCTGGCTACGGGATTACTGGTGCTATCACTAATGCTGCTAGGTATGCATCGCAATCTGTATTATCAAAAGTGGGTCTTGATGATAGTACACAGCAAGGGATACGAAATATCAGAGGAGCACCAACAAAAACGCCAAATGAAATTGAATATAAAGGTAAGTATCATTCAGAAAATGATAAAAAAAGGTGAACCAGGAAAATCAGAAGAAAGTGGAAATAAAGATCCAAAAATTTCTCCAAATAGTCGTGAGAGTCTAAAAAACTGCTGGTAAACCACAGGAAGAAGGTGAGAATCTAGAAGCTTTTAGAGGAAAGAATATTCCTGGTGATGACAGTGATAAAAATAACGAGGAAGGTAAATAAATGATATCATGTAGTAACTAATTTAAAAGGTATTTAAAGTAAAATTTTGAAAATTTATTTTCTATATGTAGAGAAAATGTAGATATGCAGTCATGTTTAAGCAAGTATGGATTTAGATTGTTGCTTTTTGCAGCTTATGTATTAGTAGTAGGTTGTAGTAAGGGTGACATGCCTTTTCCAAGATGTATATCTGCTGACTATTTTGGTCCTGAACCTACTACAGTAGGTGCTCGTTTTGCAAGTGATAATAAAAATGCGTTTATTGCGGATGACAAGCAGCTTATCGATCATAACACTAACGAATTTAATTATGGTTTTCACATTAATCAGGTTGTGAGGTGGCAAGATACTGGATTAATAACCAACGGAGATAATTTAGTGATTCGGGTAAATGGTGCATGGACATCATGGGCTCATAACAATGTTAAGGAATCAAATAAGGACCATTTAGATTTGAAAAAATTAGAACAATTGAAATATACAACTCAGTTTGAAGGGAAACCAGGTGACAACAGTTTGCCAGACTTTGGTTTAGTATGTAGTGGTTATGAATATAGTAAAGAAAATATTTCAAGCAATTCCAGTACAAGTTGCAGTGTAGATTGTAAGTGCATTAATGAGGATAGCAGCAAAAATATGGCATTACGTGGTGTTCCATGTTGGTTCACTAATGGTAATGGCGTTTATATTTTATTTGCAAAAAACACAAAAGATGAAGGATCTCAAGGTGAGTCTTACGAAAACCCTAACGATACTTTGGAGCACATGCGCTATCCTGTATCGCCTACAGTGCACTTAGGTTATGACTCCATTGCAGAGGGTGGAGATCGAGTTTTTACCTTGGATATGGATAGTGACAAAATAAAGGATAGAAACTGTAATTCTATCAAATTAAAAGACATGAAAGGATGGAAAATATATATCAAAATATTGGATAGATATTATTTTGATAATGCAGGTGGTTATTCATTAGAGTTTTTAAGTGGGGTTAATAAGCCTGGTGGAGGTACAATTTTTGATTATGTTTATAATTACTTAAAATGCACTTTATTGATCTATAGTGACAAAGGTTGTGAAGGTTATGGTAATGATAACAAATCTGCAGCTGCACAGGAAATGTTTATAAATATATCTCAAGGGCAGAGCTTTCATAACTTTGTAGTTTCGTTACTTGTTTTATTTGTGGTAATTTCATCACTTCTTTATCTTTTCGGCATGGTTCAAGAAACCAAACAGGATATGCTTATTAGAATGATGAAAATCACACTAGTAGTAGTACTGATATCTCCTGGAAGTTTTAATTTTTTCTATAACCATTTCCTTATTTTATTTGTAGATGGTCTTGAGTATTTGATTAGAGTAATTACTAGTTTTTCTCCCAATGCAAACACTACGACATTATTTAGTTTTATGGGAGATATGTTTGATAAGTTCTTTGCTTATTCAGTGTGGAAGAAGTTTGCAGCATTTTTTTCACTATCAAATGTGGGCAAGTATTCTGATGATCCCAGCAATTTTTGTAGGGATTGTTTTATATTTCTTGTTATGTATGTATGCTTTTGTTATTTTTCTCTCTGGTTTTATAGGCATAGCTTTCCTCATAGCCATAATGCCATTGTTTTTAATTTCCATTTTATTTTCGCAATTGAAAAGCCTCTTTGAAGGCTGGATAAAGTTTTGCATCAGTTTTTGCCTGCAATCAATAATGATCTTCACTTTACTATCATTATTAGCTGCAATGATAATGAACATCTTTTATAGGCAATTAGGTTTTACTGTATGTTATAACAAATGGTTGGAAGTTAAATTATGTGCTCCAAAATGGCTCGGAGGCTTTTGTGTTATGGATAAGGAATACTTTAGTTGGACTCCTGGACAAATTTTCGTACCATACAGTATTATTACTGGTGGGAAAGAGGCTTCTCCTCTTAATGTAGATAAGAATATAGAAGATATAGAAAATATAAGCAGGGAAGGTGGTACAGTAAAATTCACAGGTGGTGCTGGATATATTTCTATTCCACCAGGTTATACAAAGAAAGGGTTTCGGTATTTAGATTATCCTTTCTTCAATCCAATGCCTGATGCTGACCATTATATAACAGAAAAAGACATCATAGTTGATGATAAGTGTGATAAGAAAGACCTGGTACGTTTGGCAAATAGTTTATCGCATGCGCTAGATAAGTTTGACATTATGTTGCTTGTTCACAGTATAGACAAGAAAATAGACATAAATTCAAGAGTAACAGAGCTTTGTGCAAAAGGTAATAGTAAGTGTGTTGATTACAGAGCAATAATGGATGACTATAAGAAGGGAATTGTACATCCTGATTTAAAAAGGGAGGTCAAAGCTTTTGTGCAACAAGTAATTACGCAAGGTGGAGGATGTCGATTAGTGACATTAAATGAGAAATATAAAGAAGATAGTGATTATCAAAGAGTGCAAGATATTAAGAGAAGTATTTTAATCAATGCAAAAGAGATATTTATATTGTTCTTGCTTTCATTTTTAATGTTTTCTATGCGTAAATTTGTGCAAGAATTGGGTTCGAATCTTGCTGGTGGTGGATATAGCGTATACAGCATATCTAGTATGTATCAAGGTGGAGGTATACTCTCTCAGATTACATTTAAGATTGGAGGGCAAGAAGTGAGCTTAATGAAACTTCTTGAGATGCCTAAGCATCAGATTGGTATGAGACTTGATGTTTTCGGTAAGTGGGCTGGGCATTTACCTAATGAACTTGCTAAAGGAGCAGCTCATCTTTTAGGAAGAGCGCCAGTAGTTGGGGGAATATTGAAATATGCTGTTGAGGCACCGCGTAAACTTGTCAGTGTTAGTGTTGAAGCAACGAAATTTATTACATCACCTAAAGACGATGTTGATCACTTTGAGAAGAAAATTTACAAAGCATTTGGAGTTGATGAAAAAGATATTACACATAAGAAATTTGATAGATATTTGAGTTACTTTAAGGGATATGTAGGGTCACATTTAGGTTACACAATAGAGGATGCTGTAAAATTTACTTGGGAACATGGTATTAACTCCATAGGGCACGCAGGTAGTCAAAACAAAAAGACCAAGCCTTACACAGAAAATATTGCCTATAAGGATGACTTGCTTTATATGGCAAAAGTACATAGAAAAGAATTCTTAGATAAACTTTATGAATATACTATTGGTAAGAAAGTAATGCCGGGAAAAAGTAAGGCTGATGAGAACCCATATAATAAGCCGAATAATGCACCGCCGAATAATCCACTGCCAAATAATCCACCGTCGCCAGGTAGTAGTGATAAAATCAGAAGATCCTCTTTAGAAGATGCGGAGGCTAGAAGGAAACGTGCTGAAAGGGCAGAAAGAAGAAAAAGAAATGAAGAACTTGGAGATGTGGATCTGTCGTCGTTGTTTGATGGGAATGAGGAAAGAGATTCAGATAAAGAGGAATAGTGATGCTAAATAACAAAAAAAAACTTTAAAGGATTTGGTTATTATGAATTGCGACAAGATGATGAAGGTAATATAAAACTAAGTGATTATAATGATGTTATAAATGCGCGCAGAGCAAGAATAGATATGTTATTGGATAACATTCAATCAGATGATATCAATTTCATTAAGCTTAATGAAGCTTTACATGAGAAGCTCATAGGTGATCAGGAGTTATTTGATGCAGAGGATAAAAAGATTGCACAGGAAAAAAGTAATATATTTAGTATTCTAGATAATCTCAATGATCTTTCGAAGATTGAAAGTAAGGATTTATTGACAGTCAGTCTGTTATTATCAGATCTGAGCTATGTAGAGAGGAATATTGTACTGCAAAATAATCCTGATTTGAATGAATTAAAGAGTCTGTTTGCTGAGAAGAAAGTATCCGGTGAAGATTATACAGATGAGGATTACAGAGATCTTGCTGATTATTTTGATAAGATTAATAATATAATTAAGTTAGAGTTAAGTGATAGGATTGAAAGCACAAATGAAGAGATCATTGAATAAATTCTACATCACCAGTCATAAATACGTTGTTTGTCCACTCGATAGATAATTTACCTCCAAGAAAGTTCACCGAAGTCTGTTGAGTGGTAATATATCCACGTAGTACAGACGCAACAAAAGCTGCACAAGCTGCACTACCACACGATGCAGTAATACCTGTACCCCTTTCCCAAACCTGCAAATTTATTTCTCCTGGTTTGTCTATTTGTGCAATGCTGACATTAGTTTTCTTAGGAAATAGTATATGGTTTTCTAGCTGTGGTGCTAAGTTTAACAATGGTATCTTATCTATGCTATCAACAAAAAAAGATCAGATGAGGATTACCAATATTGACTGCAACTGGATCTTTTAATACTCCAAGTTCTATCGGTAGGTGGAGAGTATCACATTCAGTTGATAGAGGAATTTCATACCACTTAAGTGACGGTTTTCCCATATTGATTTTGATGGATTTATTACCTGCTTTAAAGCATTCTAAAATCTGTTCATTCATCAGTTCAATAGTTGCATATTTAGTACCTTTTTCCAGCATGATTAAATATCCCACACAACGTGCTGCATTTCCACACGTTTCAACTTTACTACCATCAGCGTTATAAATATGCATAAAACAATCTGCAACATTGGAATTAGTGACAACTATAACTTGATCACAATTACTGTCATTAGCTATCTTTTTATAATCCCGATTTACGTTATCTACTAAACGTGAATCTATGATGATGAAGTTATTACCAGTGCCATGCATTTTTGTTGACAGTTGCCACATCATTAGACTTTTTTCAAATTCAATTTATGGTAAGAAATTTTTAGGAGAAGTGCAAGCGAGTACCGCAGTTGAGGATAACAAAATTGCCATTAGAAATTGAATTACGAGAGGAGATCATCCTAAGTTTCAGTAGCATCATCAAGTTTTTGAGCAAGAATATTATCTTCTTTATAAACATCCAGAATTCTTTCTTCATATGCCACCAATTCACATCTAGAAAGATGGCTATACGACATATTCCCCTTGTGCAATAAAATCAAACTTTTAATTTATTACCGCTGGGCAATGGCGGTAAGCCAAAGGCTTCTCTTTTTTCATTTAATGTCATAAAACTTGCATTTTCTACATACTTCCACAGTTTTTGTCTCTTTTCCATAAGAATTTCTATTGCATCTTTATCATACGACAAGCACAAATCTTGACCAAATTTCGGTACTAGCCAAGAATTAAGGTGACAAACAATGTTTTCTAATATAGGCAAAACTGTCTGCTCCCATAGGGATAATCGTGCTTCAACTAAATTGCTATAAGTGTTGTCACCAGGTATGCCAAGCAATTGCGGTGGCACTCCAAAAGCTAGAGCAATATCACGTGCTGAACTGTGTTTAGAGTCAATGAAATCCATATCTCTCGGTGATAAACTCATTTCTTTCCAGTCTAAGCCACCTTCAAGCAGTATTGGCCTACCAGCATTTGCTGGTCCAGAATAGTATTGGTCTATCTGTATCTTTAAACGTTGATACTGTTCTTGACTTAAATTTCCTCCACTACCATCTTTTGCTGATTTCACAACTATGGCTCCGCTCGGCCGCGCTCCATTTTGTAACATAGCCTGATTCCAAGCCCCTGCTTGATTATGCTGATCTATGCTATATGCTGCTGCTTCTATCGGTGAAAGTCCGTACCAATCATTTAAAGGATTAAAGGTTTTTAAGTGCAGCACTGCTGAACGTCCGGTTAGTTTATTAACCTTAAAATCGTAACTGTTGTCGTTCACTGTATAGCGATAAGCACACGGAACATTATTTTTTCCAGGAATAATATCAACTCTATCCGGACGCAAAAGGTGAAGCTCTGTTGGCGGTTTTGTGTTATTCTGAGGTTCAATCATCAGCATATAGGCATTTCCACTGATCAGTCGATAAGTGACAATTCCTTCAATAAATTCTGATTTAGATGTAATTGGGTTAGGAGAATAAAGTAATTTTAGTAATGGATGAGTTTTTAAGTATGATTTTCCCTGATCAGTAAGTTGATAGAGAATAAAAGGTACTGAGGATACAGCACTTGCGATCATATTTACCGCGCGAAAAGCAATGACGTTTTTAATGTAACCTTCTTCAGCAAAACTTGCATAGTCACGCTTGCTCCAACTAGGTTCCATCATTAGCTGTAGAGTGGAATATTGATTAAGTACTTGTTTTTCTTTTTTTTGGAAAATATTGAAATTCATATGTGCCTCCATAAAAATTGTTGTGAAAATTAGACCTCTTGAGAAAGAGGTATATACTTAGATAATTTAACTGGAAGTAAAAGATGATAGAATGGTTAATATCTAATCAGCTTGTTGATTATAACGATGCTGTGCAATTCATGGAAGAGAGAATTAAATTAATTCATGATGATCTAGAAGATGAGCTGGTGTGGTTACTTGAGCATCCTCCTCTATACACTGCAGGTATTAGTGCAACAGATGCTGAAGTTGTTGAAAAACTTTTTCCTATCTATAAAACTGGCAGAGGGGGCAAATACACATATCATGGTCCTGGACAACGCGTTGTATATTTAATGCTCAATCTAAAAAAAAGAAACAGATGTGATATCAGATTATATGTTGAAAGTTTGAGTAACTGGATCATCAGTGTTTTAAAATACTTTGGTATATCAGGGGAGTATAAAAGAGACAGAGTAGGAATTTGGGTAAGTAATAATGGAATAGAAGAGAAAATTGCAGCTTTTGGTATTCGAGTAAGGAAGTGGATAACGTACCATGGAATAGCCATTAATGTTTCACCAGACCTTGCTCATTATAGAGGAATTATCCCTTGTGGATTACAAGAGTATGGAGTAACTTCAATGAAGAAGCTACGAGTTGAAATTTCATTTTCTGAGTTAGATGACATACTAAAACAAGAATTCTATAAAATTTTTCAATAGATTTTTCTTTAAATTCAATAAATTATATTAATTTCCACATTAAGTTATATTATTTTTAATATTTATATAGTATATATTAATATTTAAAATGAAAAAATTATTTACTTTAACTATATTATCTGCTGTTTTTTTTGCAAAGACATGCTTTGGCATCGATATGATTAGAGATAGAATTTTTGCTTCTTTATCGTATGGAGCTGCTGGTGCTAGGTGTGATATCGGTTATCACTATACAGACAACATTAAATTTTCAGTTGACTCTGCGATCAGACCTATTTTGGATATACCGATTAAAAAAGTAGGAATAGGAGTAGGACTCATGGCAAAACTTCATTACCATCATAAACTTAAAAGTGCCGAGATTACTCCATATATTAATGCTGGTGCAGGTATTGCCAGAACATTCCTTGTAAAAGAAGGTTCTCAAAGTCTCATACCTGTTTTAACTCCTGATTACCTTGTTTCTTATCAGGTAGGTGCTGGTATTAATCTTCCACTTTCTTCAAAAACGAATATTTTTGCCGGTTACAGGATACAGAAGCTCGATGAACTTTTGCATGGATTTGAATTCGGATTAAGTTTTAATTTGTAAGAATGAAAAAATTATTTGCTTTAACTATATTATCTGCTGTTTTTTTGGCAAAGCCATGCTCTGGCATTGATATGATTAAAGATAGAATTTTTGCTTCTTTATCGTATAGTGCTGCTGGCACTGGGTTTGATGTCAGTTATCACTATACAGATAACACTAAATTTTCACTTGGCTCCGTGATCAAACCTATTTTTAATATAAAAACTGAAGAAATAGGAATAGGACTGGGATTCATAGAAAAGCTTCATTACCATCATAAACTTGAAAGTACGGATATTACTCCATATGTTAATGCTGGTATTGGTATTTTTGAAATATCACCTCTTATACAATCAGACTCAGATCCACAATGTCAAAGAACTTCTTACTTTTTTTCTTATCAGGTAGGTGCTGGTGTTAATCTTCCACTTTCTTCAATAACTAGTGTCTTTGCTGGCTATAAGGTACAGAAATTCGAGAGAATTTTACATGGATTTGAATTCGGATTAAGTTTTAATTTGTAAGAATGAAAAAATTACTTGCTTTAGCCATATTACCTGCTGTTTTTTTGGCAAAGCCATGTTTTGGTGTTGATTGGCTGAGAGATAGAATCTATTATTCTCTTTCGACTAGTACTAATGTTGGCATTAAGCATGAGATAGGTTATTGCTACACAGACAGCACTAAAATTTCAATCGGACATATGAGTAGTGACGGATATGGAGCGGGATTAGGAGACATGATCATAGTAAAATTTCAATACCATCATAAATTTGCAAGCACGGATATTACTCCCTACGTTAATGCTGGTACAGGTATTGTTAAAATATTACATGGTGATATCACTGATTTTAACACCTTGTTTGTTCCTTATCAGGTAGGTGCTGGTATTAACCTTCCTCTCTCTTCGATAACGAGTGTTTTTGCTGGCTATAATGTGCAGAAATTCGAGAGAATTTTGCATGGAATTGAGTTTGGAATAAGTTTTAATTTGTAAGAATGAAAAAATTACTTGCTTTAGCAATATTATCTTCTATTTTTTTGGCAAAGCCATGTTTTGGTGTTGATTGGATTAAAGATAGAATCTATATTTCTTTGTCTAGTATTGCTGTTCCTCCTAAACCTGAGATAGGTTATCACTATACAGACAGCATTAAAATTTCAATTGAACCTATAGCAGTATTGTGGATGGGAGCAGAAACGCAAGTGGGAAGAGGGTTCGTAACAAAATTTCATTACCATCATAAACTTAACAGTACGTGTATCACTCCATATGTTAATGTTGGCTCCGGTGTTATTATTACTTCAGAATCTGAAGATGACCCTACAGAATTTAAAAATGACTCTTTAGATTTCTTTATTCCGTATCAGGTAAGTGCTGGTGTTAACATTTCTCTTTCTTCAAGAACCAGTTTATTTGCTGGTTACAAGGTGCAACGACTCCTGAAATTTTCGCGTGGATTTGAGTTTGGAATAAGTATTACTTTATAAGAATGAAAAAATTACTTGCTTTAGCGATATTATCTTCTATTTTTTTTGGCAAAGCCATGTTTTGGTGTTGATTGGATTAAAGATAGAGTCTATGATAGAGCCTATATTTCTTGGTTATATAGTACTGCTGCTGGTTTGAGCAGTGAGATAGGTTATCACTATACAGACAGCATTAAAATTTCAATTGAGCCTGTTTTGCATGAAGTCTGTAAAGCAGGATCACAGATAGATGCAGACAGGTGGATAGGAACGGGATTCGTAGCAAAATTTCATTACCATCATAAATTTATAAGTACAGGTATTACTCCATATATTACTGCTGGTACAGGTATTATTGCTACCACAATAATCGACTTTTACGAAAATAACTCTTCCGATGTCTTTGTTCCGTATCAGATAGGTGCTGGTATCAATCTGCCACTTTCTTCAAGAACTAGTGTCTTTGCTGGTTATAAGGTGCGAAAATCCCTTAAATTTTCACATGGATTTGAGTTCGGACTAAGTTTTAATTTATAAGATGGATCATATGCGTCAAGTTAAGAGAAGAGAGGAGTGTGCCTCTTGTGAAACCAATAATTACATTATTTTTTAATATTTATATAGTATATATCTACACATTAACGTTTAAGGGACAAAAATGAAAAAATTACTTGCTTTAGCGATATTATCTACTGCTTGTTTGGCAAAGCCATGTTTTGGTGTTGATTGGATTAGAGATAGAGTTTTTACTTCTTCATCATATGGCTATACTGGTATTAATTATGATATCGGTTATCACTTTACAGACAACACTAAATTTTCAGTTGGTAGTGTGATTAAACCTATTTTTGGTAAAGAGAAGCAAGGATTAGGACTGGGAGCCATGGCAAAACTTCATTATCATCATATACTTGAAAGTACAGATATTACACCATATGTTACTGCTGGTGCAGGTATAGTTGGAGTAATGTCCGTTTTAGAAGAAAAAACACAAACAATGAAGGAATTAAGAGAGAATACGACTCTTGATGGCTTTTTTTCTTATCAGCTAGGTGCTGGTGTTAACCTGCCTCTTTCTTCAAGAACGAGTGTTTTTGCTGGCTATAAGATGCAGAAATTTGAGAAACTTTCGCATGGAATTGAGTTCGGAATGATTTTTAATTTATAGGCCCAGTTTATAGGGTTTGTGAACTTTGTTGGTGCTCTTGTGTGGCTTCTTTAAAATTCTCTCCATAGTACCTAGGAGAATTACTATTTTTTTCTAATATTGGATCTTGCATCTGAACATTGGGTATGGATATTCCGTATGCAGCATGACCAACTGCAGATGCCATTGCTACTACGAGAGCACTCAATGCTGCAGTTTTAAGAACAACTTTTTTATCTTCTTGCTTATTATTAGATGCAATTAAAATACCTTTTACGTTTCCATTTGCATGCCATAAAGGAGTGTGGCTGTTGTTATCTTCTACATGAATATTAGCCCCTTTGTTTATTAGAATCTTCATTGTACATGTTTTGTTATGTTTAGCAGCAAGATGCGAAGGTGTTTGGCCATTGTTATCTTTTTTATTAATATTAGCACCTTTGTTTATTAGAGTGAGTACTGTATCTATCTTGCCACCTCGCGCAGCAAGGTGTAGAGGAGTTTGGCCATCGTTATTTTTTGCATCAATATCTGCTCCTTTTTTCACTAGAGTTTTTACGGTACTGTAACAAAAGCAATGTAAAATAGCAAGATGTAAAGGAGTTTGGCCGTTGTTATCTTTTTCATTAATATTAGCTCCTTCATCTATTAGAGCTTCTATTGTATCTATATTGCAATTTTTAGCAGCAAGATGTAAAGGAGTTTGGCCATCGTTATTTTTTGCATCAATACCTGCTCCAGCTTTTATCAGCTTTTTCAATACTGCTCTATCGCAGTTACCTGATATAGCACTATGTAAAGGAGTTCTACCATCTTTATCTTCTGTATTAGATTTTATCTCTTTTTCTTTTAAGAGAACATCCATTGCTTTCCAACTTTGATAGCAAATAGCTATGTGCAAAGCAGTATATCCTCCACAGCTTTGTGCATTAACATTCATTTTTCCTGACTTTAATAAAATACCTATTATCTTTTCACTGTTAGATATAGCAGCCTGATGCAAAAGAGTCCAAAAAAGACAGCATATTTACTGTATTAATATTTACTCCTTTTGCTTTTAATAAAGCATCTAGTAAATTTTCCAGATTATTGCGAGTAGCTAAGTGCAGCAGTGTATATTTCTCAACTCTTTCTGAACGTAAGTCATTATCATAAACAACATAAAATAGGTAATTTACATCAAATTGGTTGTTTTCCCACTCTTCATACACATCTTGATGTTCTGCTTTTAAAATTTCCTTTATTTTTTCAATTACATTAACTTCATTTAAACCATCACTATCGTTTACTGTAATTAATAGTTCTCTCCACTGTGTATGTTTTATTGTTATAGCTTTACCTCAAAATTATAGCAATGTTTACGTATTATAGCATAAAAATCGACTGTAACAATAGTTTACTAAATCTTAAAAAATAGTCAGAATCAAGTAAGTAAGTAACTTATAAATCTAGTGCGTAGTCACCAAAAAAAAGTATTGCTGTCCAATATATTTTGCAGAATAGCGATATGGTATGATCACATGCTCTTTATTGATTTAGTCAACATAATTAGTAGAGAATTTCTTTCCGATGGAATTGATGTTTATCATAATATATTGCAATTATTTGGCATAGCAGGGCTAGGTGCCATGGCAAGACCATTTGGTGCCTTTATCTTTGGTCATATTGGTGATAGGTATGGCAGAAAAATAGCACTACCAATTGCTATTTTGCTAGTATCAATACCATCTAGTTTAATCGCATTCATTCCAAGTTATAGCCAAATAGGTATAATATCTACTATACTGCTGATTATAATCCACGTTATACAAGGAGTTGCATTAGGTGCTGAACAGGGAGGCAGCTCTGTCTACCTCATAGAGCATTTATCTGATAAGAAAAAAAAAATTAGGAATGCTTTTTGGCATCATAGGTTTTGGTAGATCTATAGGTATCTTACTTTCTGCATTGGTAGTCATTCTCTGCAAAATAACAACTGATTTTAACGCTTGGGGATGGAGATTACCGTTTATTTTCTCTGCTGTTTTAGGATTAATTAGTGCATATAGCATATATATATTAGGGGAAACGCCAGTATATAAAGCAAGTCAGAAGCAAATTCATTTACCAATAATAGAATTAATGAAACACCATAAAAGAGCGTTCATACTTGCTATTTTAATAGCTATGCCTGTGAACGTCGTTGTTGGCTTCACTATATTTGTTCGCACACTTGCAAAGGAAATAGTATCTATGGAGGTATATGTAACGACATATATTAATGAAGTTATATCCATTATAACTGGCATATTAATGCCAATATTTTCAATATTGTTTGGAATTTTGGCTGATAAAATGGGAAAAGAACGCACGGCAATTTTATTTATAGTAATGACAATGATATTAAGCTGTCCTTTGCTATCTATTGCATACTACTACAAAAGTTATCTTGTGATTATGCTGAGTGTAATGGTTCTTTCCATGATAGAGAGGGGTATAAATCCTATCGGAATAGTAGCATCTGAATTATTTCCTACAAAAGTCAGATTTAGTGGTGTTAGCTTATCACGTAACATATCCTTTACTTTGCATGGAGGATTCACTCCTATGATATGTACTTGGTTTACTATAATTTTTCCTCAAGTGAACTTTGCTTCTGGACTTTATGTGGTATTGTGTTTACTAGTCAGTTCAGTAGCAATATTACAGATAAAACCGCAAGACAAAAAACTTTAGATTTTATGGGTTTTGCAAGAGATACCATCTTATAAGTCAACAAAGATATAAACGATTGAACTTGGTATATCTACGGATATTATTGCAAGAACTACTGGATTTTCAAATAAACAAATTAAAAAGTTGAAATAAAGTGCTTTTTTTACGAAATTTTCTTTGTTTCATTTAAAACTTCATCTACATGTCCGCTAACTTTTACATTCTGCCAAATTTTCACTATTTTACCTTTTTTATCTATTAGAAAAGTAGTGCGTTCTATACCCATGTACTTTTTACCGAACATGCTTTTTTCTACCCATACGTAATATTTTTTTAATATTTCAGCATTTTCATCAGAAACTAAATAAAACGGTAAAGAATATTTTGCCTTAAAATTAGCGTGGCACTTAACGCTGTCCTTTGATACACCGATTATCACTGTATCAAGTGAAGAAAAATCATCAATGCGATCCCTAAAACCCTTAGCTTCCATAGTGCAGCCTGGAGTATCATCTTTAGGATAAAAATAAAGTACCACATTTTTTTTTGTTGAAAAATTCACTCAGTGATAAATTTTCACCAGAATCTGTTGGTAAAGTAAAACTAGGTGCATTGTTTCCTATCGTTAATTCCATATTACTCCTTTTTATAATATTCCTAGCTTGTCAAACATTCCTGACACGCCTTAATAATGCTATTGCATCCGATTTCCAATTGCTCATGAGAAGCAGCATAAGAAATTCTAATAAAATTTTCCATGCCAAACGCAACCCCTGGAACTACAGCAACCAAGTAATCTTCAAGCAAGTATTCAGTAAAATCCAAGTCGTTATTTATTACCTTACCATTTTTTGTTTTTTTACCTAGTATGCCTTCACACGAAACGAACAAATAAAATGCACCCTGTGGCACAGATACGGATAACCCTGGAGCAGAACTCAGCTTTTCCACCATAAAATCTCTACGGTTTTTAAAAGTCTCTGTTCGTTCCTTTAAGAATCCATGATCACCATTTAGTGCTTCAGTTGCTGCAGCTTGTGCTATAGAGTTCGGATTAGATGTACTTTGAGATTGTAGTGTAGAAATAGCTTTTACTATATCATTTTTACCTGCAACGTATCCTATTCTCCAGCCTGTCATTGCGTAAGCCTTTGATACCCCGTTTACTATAAAAACTCTATCATAAAGTTTTGGTTCAACTTGAGCAATGGTAAAAAACTTCTCATCATATATTATGTGTTCATAAATGTCATCTGTAACAATATTTACATGCGAATGTTCAAGTAATACTTTAGATATATCCCGCAACTCATTATGTGTATACACAGCACCTGTAGGGTTGTTTGGCGAATTGATCACTAACCATTTCGTTTTTTTTAGTTATTTTACTTTTCAATAATTCCGGTGTAAGTTTAAAATTTTGCTTGCACTCAACTACAATTGGTACTCCACCAAAAAGATTTACCATATCAATGTATGAAACCCAATATGGAGCAGGGATAATGACCTCATCTCCTGGATTAATAGTTGCCATGAATAAATTAAATAATACCTGTTTAGCACCACTACCTACGCAGATTTGATTGGGCTCATATTTAAGTTCATTATCTCGCTCTAATTTTTTAATTATCGCTTCTTTTAATTCGCGTGTTCCATCAACCGCTGTATATTTTGTTTTACCTTCATTTATTGCTTGTACAGCTGCATTCTTTATATGATCTGGAGTATCAAAATCTGGTTCTCCTGCAGCTAAAACACAGATTTTTTTTCCTTCACCTTTTAGTTTATTTGCTGCATCAGTAATAGCGATTGTAGGTGATGGTTTTATCAAAGACATTCTTTCTGCAAGGTGTGACATAATCTTAACTTTAAGCTAAATAAAAATAATAAACTCTGTGCAACAAAAAAGCGAGAAATTTTATTAAACCTTGTAAAATCCATTAGAGTAATCATAGCATAAAATTTCATTACATAAAATAATGAAAAAAATGGTATAATCTTGAGCCATCATTAAATGGCATTTACAAAGTTTCTTGATCCAAAATGCGACCTCATGTTCAAGCAAATTTTTGGCACCGAAAAAAAACAAGAACATTTTAATCCATTTTCTAAATGATATTTTAGGCTTTGCTGGTGAAAATGCGATACAAATTGATTTTAAGAAAGTATTTTTTATTGCTATTTCTGCAAGAGGTTGAGTATATTTCGACCTATAATATCCGCGATATAAAAACCGATGGGCATTACTCAAAAGATTTTCAATTTGTCTTTATTGAGTTACCAAAATTTACGAAAGCAGAACAGGAAACGATAATAAAGCTAGCATATGATAAATTATATAAGTTCTACTGGAATGAGACGGATTTAGTAGCATACGAAGAAAGGATTATGGATGTTTACAAAGAAGAAAATATTCTTGCTGAAAACTTGATGATGCTACTGAAAAAGGTAGAGAAAAAGCTGAAATGTAGCTAAAAACTTGGGTTTTTTTGCAGTCTAACAAACGTCCCTTAACTCTCGATTTTCGGTTGTCGTTAAAAAGAATGTATTTACAACTCCAGTACTTGTTAAAATCACAGTAAAATTGTCAAAAGCAGCCGGATCATAATATCTTTCATATAATTCAACTGAACATTGTAAACTCATTTTCTCTTCATCACCATAATGTATTTCATAATCATTAATAGAATTTAACATAGCAGAGTTATGTAGTAATCTATCAGCTATCATACAGTCTAAAATCCCGTTGATTTTTATTGTTATATATCGACTTCCAGCATAATCTAATGCCTTTCGCCAACCAAGAGAGGAGATTTCTTTTATCTCTTCTCTATTGTTGCGTAAAGTAAACCTTAAGTTTCTTATGTTATTTAATGTAACATAATTGTTATCATAATCTTTAATTCTCAATTGTAATTTTTTCATTGCTCACTCCTTTAAAAAATACATCAAAATTAATCACCGAGTGTAAAATTTCATCATACTGATTTATGACGCAATTATTTTCTACGATATCAAGACATTTAATATCTTTTAATATCAAGTTAATATGTTTTGTAATATTGAACATACTATCTATGTGATAGGTATACACATCACATGAAAATCTTGCTTTAATAGCGAAATTAGATAACATATGTAAGTTTTTGTAATTTACTACATGCAACTTCACATAGGGAGTTGAAACTTGTTTAGGTAAGTAATCATAAATATTAGTGACATACTTCCTTAAGTTAGTATTTTTCCTGAGTATCGAATAAATACTATTATGTATGGCTTGAATTTCTTCCATAATTAATCTCCATTTATAGTATAACTCTTGGATTGCGGAATGGGAGATATACCTTTTTTATCTCAGATAAGTAGCTGCCTATGTCTGATTCACGGTTTTTGTAAAGTGCAGATACATGTTTTATAATTCCTAATTTGATCTGCTCAGGAACAATATCATAACCAGCCTCATATGTGACATCAACCATTTTTGTATTCGGAGAACTCTGAAATTCAACATAGCTTCCGATATTGCTAAAATAGTACTTAATCTCTTGCTTCTCTTTATTTGTGGATGTTATTGCAGTAGCTGATATTATCTCTTTAATAGGGCCATAGCTTAGATAGATTCTATGTGGTATATAGCCTTCATATGAAACTTGCCATGTCTGCTTCATTAGCGATTTTTCCATATGCCATTCAGCATATTCCGTTGCCATGGCAATGAGACTTAAAATCAGATCATCATCTTGATTATTTTCAACACGTAAGAACAATTTTACCCCTTCCAAAGTCACAGGAAAAGGCTCAGATTTAGATTTACGTTGCACATATACAATCGGACTTTTTGATAAAGTAAACATTATAACCCCCCTTTTTTTATCTAATTAAGTAATACTTCTACTTGTGTTTTAGTATTGCAAACATTTGTACAAACAAAAGTGTTTGAAATTTTAATTCTTGTACTATAAATTTTTGATTGTGTGCTCCACTGCATTGAGAAGAGAACGCATTAAAGCTGCTTCCCCCTTTTTAGCAATAAAATTTGAGTTCACAGCATAATTTATTAAACTAGATTTTAATATATCTAAATTTTGAGAGTGGATATTTTTAAAAATAGAGTTTAATTCTTTAATAAGTAAATTACGAAACTTTTGTGCATTATCATACGTCAAATCCTCGATTTCATGCGCAAACTTATCCTGACTAGTAGTCATTATGTCATCAATCTTATCGTAGAATTCTTGTAGATTTTTCTCACTATTCTTAAAATTTTTCCTCATACCTATATAACATAATTACTGTTGCTATTGTAATAACAATAGAAGAATTACCGAAGTAAAAAATACACTAAATTCAAAAAAAATAAAATTACCCTAAAATGGAATTTAAGTAATATAAGCTCAGGGTCTACACATGAAAATTTAGAGGTATAAAATAGGAAGAAAAGAAGTAAAATAAGCTTTTAAGGGGGTAAAGATAAAATAGACTTCTTTTTTTTAATGCAAGAGTAATTATAGCATGAAATTTCAGTATAAAAATGATGAATTTTTATACTGTATTAGTTTATATTATGACACTCTATTTCAGCATAATAATTTATTTTTCTTACTGAACAAACACTCTCAATAAGGGCCTTGAGCAAGGATTTATCTGGTTATAATGGTGTTGATTGATGAGGTTATGCAACTTTTATCAATGACAAATTCGATTTATCTGCTTGACAGTCTTGAATAATATATTATCCTGCCATTAATATAAACTATTAGAAAAAATAGCTTGATTGTTTTTTAAGCTAATAATATAATAAATATATCAATATAAAACTTAAAAGGGGGTGTAATTATGACGTATGATGGAAATCCTAAAGTTCATTCTAATGAGCTGAATAAAGAAATGGTACAGGATCAAGGTACTCAATCAACAGATAGCAATAGCAGTGTTAATGTCGCGCAGAATGGTTCAAGTGCAGAGCAACTTGTTATATCAGCAGGTAATAAAAGTGCTTATGTTAATCCGCCTATGGATCAGAATTCAAGTACAAAGACTAAAAAAGTTGAAGGTGACGTGAGTAGTCAGACAATTGCAGAAATAGACTTTCCTCGTCGGTTGCCTACGGATGTTGATGCTTTATTTAAAGCACTTAAAAAGGAGAATTTTACTCTTGGTAATGCAGAAGAAGAAAAGCGGCTTAGAGAAGCATTTAAGAGAGCAACTGACTTTTCATCACTGGTTAAGGGACTGAGCATTTCACAAGCTCAGCTTTGTTTAAATGTCTTTGAATATAAAGAGATTAGTCAATATATAAATATAAATATAATACAAAGCGGTTACGAAGCTGTAGAGGAAGCAGACGATTTGATAGCAAAGTATTTTAAGGATTACACGGGTTATCTTGCTTATTGTGAGAAGAATAGTGATAGTGATGGCTTGGATACTTTGCATATTTCACTCGGTCAACATATAATGGTGCCAACAAAAATTAGTGATGTTTTACAACAGGAAAAACATATAGGTGCATTAAAGATATACCGTGGTCCTAATGAGGAAATAGTTGCTAGTAGGGGTAAAAAGGATGATATTAATATAAGAAATTATGAATTTAAGAGAGATGTAAATTATGACATGACAATCAATTGGGAAGCGCAAGATGGTGATCAGGATGTAAAGCTCGAGATGGTTGTAAGTGTGAATCATGAAGGTATAACTGCATTGCGTAATTGTTATAAAGATGGTACGGAGATTACTGATATAAATGAGAAGTATGCTTTTTTTGCTCAATTTGCAAAGCAAAATAAAGAGTTATATATTAATGGTTTGCCTCTATGTGAAGCGTTTGAATTGCCCGTTATTGGCAAGAGTAGTGAAACTGTGATTTGTAATGGTACTACTACTCAGGTAGTTGATAGAACTTCTAAGCAACCTGATGGCGCACAAAGTGATGCTACTACTCAGACAGTTGAAGTTGATAGCACTCCTAAGCAACCTAATGGTGCACAAAGTGATGCTACTACTCAGGTAGTTGAT